GCGGTCTTTGCAGCAAACCCGCACCGGGCGCAGGCTGGTGTGTGCCCCAGGAGGCCGCCACGCGCACCCGTGTGAGCACTTTCGTCGCTGGCAGTGCCATTAGCAGAACTGGGGGTCTGGTGATTTTCTTTAACGCAGGTGTGTCTGTTCACAATCGTGCGTGCACACGCGTGTGCACACACACACACACACGTGTGCGCGCCGGCAGACCACAGGGGCTGCAGGCTGAGTGTCGGGTGAGAGGACCCGCCCAGAACCAGGAGTCCCAGCGCCCACGGCCCCTGAGTCACGGGCGTCGGCATCGGGGCAGATCATTGCTGAGCCGCCTCGGGAGTCAGGAGCCGCGCGTCATTCCGGCAGCTCCGGCCGCCGTCCTGGTCCGTTGTCCAAACCCGGTGGTTCTGGTTCCGAGGAAAGGCTGACCACGTGACTTTTACAGGAGGGTGTCTCCCAGGAGACAGGCAGGTGGGCGGCTGGGCCATCCCTGGCGTAGCGACGCGGGAGACGTAAGGTTCGCATGTGGTTGGCGAACCCTGATGATCGGCAAACGTGAAATGCTCACCGGTTCTCAGATTCTTCACGGTCATCGCTAGAGAGGGGCGCTCCCGTTCTGTCCGTCACATCCCGGGAGTCTCCGAGACGGTGTCCCCGGCATCTGAGGGGGGGCTGCGTGGGGGCGTCCCGCCTCCGACCCCGAGTCTCCCTCCCGCTGAAGCTCGTTGGTCCCCTCCTTTCTGAACACCCTCCCCTCCGCCCTCCACCAGCCCCCTCTCGTGCTTTGATTACGGACAGCACCGGTCCTATAAGAAGGGGCGGGCGTGACGTGTCACACCCCGTGCAGGCATCACACAGCACCAGAACCAGCCAGGGGGCGGCCAGGACCTCACCCCGCCTCCCCACTCAGGTTCCCCGAGATGAGACAGGGCCCACGCAGGCCAATCAATGCTCTGTGCTTGTCTGCACGGAGCCGGAGCCCGGGGTGAGGGCTCTTCCTCTCCAAACATAACTGCAGATCAGAAGGCGTTGCGGGGGCAGCGGGGGCTGCGGGAGGGGGGGGGTTCCTGGGGGAGCGGCCTGGCTCTCCTGAGCCCTGAGACCTGCCAGGATGCACTCTCCGCGTCTGGTTGAAGCTGCCTCGTCCTGGGACGAGCTGGGTGGCCTCCTCCTCCCCTCTGTCCTCTGGGATCCCGCCTGGCCTGTGGTGTGCAGGGGAGGGGGTCCCCTGACCTTGAGGCTCCCCGTCATCACACTTGCGTCTCCCCAGCGGCCTGTCCTGTTGTGGGACTCATGAGAGCTGAGCCCAGCGCTCCCGAGAGGCACCGGCACAGATGAACCCGCAGGTGGCCTGCCCGGGACCCCCTGTGGGCCGTGAACCGGGTCCTCGCACCCGACCTGTCCTGGCTGCCAGGAGGTGGGCGCCGAGGACTCTGCTACGGCCGAAGGGGTGTCACCGAGCGGGAGGGGAAGCAGACACTACGCAGTCTGTGCCTTTTCCACCCAAACTAGCGAGCTCTGAGCGGAACAAAGGGTTGTTTTGTATTTTTATTTATTTTTTTAATTCCTTATTGATGAAAGTATTATATATGTCCCCA